AATTACTCTTCAAGAGCAAAAACGAATCACATTTTTGTGGCTTAGTTTCTGTAGCTTAGTTACCAAAACCGAAATGCAATTCTCTCTTCGAAAGGAACCCCACTCTCAATTAAGACCGCTTCGTTCCACTCCTGTAAGATTTGGCTTTAAGTAGACACCTTGTGAGAGACCACAGAAAGCTAAAAAACTATGATTGTCTCTGTGGTGTAAGATCTAACCCAGTAACGATCAGGATGCAAAAAGTTGCAACTGAATTCAACACGTTCCGTCGGATATTCAACTGATGACATCAAGATCAAGTTGATCACCTAACTGACTGACACACTACTGATATTTCCATCCTATTCCAATCTCACTTTGAGATTATTCCGTTTAAGTTCTTTTGATTGTTAGGTCATTCCTAAAGAAGGTCGCATGTGGAAACAGAATGATTTTGGTGAGTTCACAAAGAAGTAACCACATCAAAACAATTTCTTTTTTGAGGAACACCACATAAAACGTTTGCTCTTTTAGAGTTTTTTCTCCTAAAAAACAGTGTACGTTGTTTTCTTTTGAGAGATTGCTTCAAATCGTAGTTTTCACCGATGGTTTTCTGGAGGAAATATACCATGCACCAGAAGATGTAAACACCCCATTAGATTTTACTCAACGACTGAATCAGTAAATGTGACTTACGCATTACCACACCCAACATTTCAGGATAAAACGTGAGCTTTCTCCGGAAGTTTTGGACTCCCTTGGTCTCAGATTCAACCAACTTTTGGGTTGAATTTGGAAAGTAACGACTTTGAGATGGACGAAATCAACACACTGAGTGGTATTCTAACTAATCATTCCTGCGTATAGTGTTGAGAGCTTAGAAATGGGATTGCTTTCGGAAAAGGGAAACGCCAGGTCTACCTTGAGCACCAGTTTGAACATCCGTAGCAGATTTATCCGCATATATAGTTGTCTTCCTGGAGAGACGATATCAGATAAGCTGCACTAATGGTCTACTTTTGGCGGAGGCGTACCACTGAACTGCAGTTCACAGACTAAACAAACTGTCTATCACTCGGTGAAATGATCAAGGTGACTATATCCTCCCGCGACTGCTGCAACACAAAACTCAAAACCACTACATCGCTTTCCAAAGATGCACCCAGTTGCGAATCAATTTGGTTTTCACGGGAGACTCAACTGAGACTCAACCTCGTTGATGATACTCTTCAACTGAATGTGCTGCACAAAGGCCGTCTCATGTGTCGTTTGGTACGTTAATTGAGATATCGCAGTATATTTTCATACAGGGAACTACTCATCGCGACCAGTACATAGCTTGATGATGTCAAACCATGCGTGCTTATGTGAGACGGAGAGATTTCAGCAGGCGTAACTTTTGGCTTGTTTAAGGCTTAAAATTTGGCAGTAATTCCTGTGTGACATGTTTTACGCGTCCGATGAAGAAGGCTGTCCACAAACACAGAATTCCACACTTTCAATTGTGGTCTTCATGGATAGTGATGATGAAATTTGTGGGGTTGTGAACATCATGGTTTATAGCATTAGGATCCGGCTAAAAAACGTTGAAAACTTACCTACAACCATACGGACGAACACTATGGACTCCATGAACCATTGTGCGTTTGGAATGTCGTACAGCTAGCAACCTGCTGCAGTCTAATGTAACGTAGTCGCGTTGGGTTAAGCTATGTCATTAAAATATCCTATGCTGGAAGTTAGTAATTGACTGGATTGCACAAAATTCTTGACCCAAGTGATGATTTGCGCTGTCAATCAGGATAGGGTCATATTATAAATACATACAACAACTAAGATTATATCTGATATTATTACAAAAATGTGGGGTTCGTGTGATCGATAGAGATCAGCAGCATCAACAAAGAGCATCCAGCAAAAAAAAACTAGTTAGACATTCTCCGTGAGTGTCGTTCGTTCTGATCGATAGAGACAGCATCAACAAAGAGCATCCAGCAAAAAAAACTAGTTAGACATTCTCCGTGAGTGTCGTTCGTTCTGAATGATCAATTTATTTACAGCACATCTACGCTTCTTTTGCTTTGGATGGCTCATCCCACTCCATAAACTTGATGTTATGTGGATTAGAAACCAATAGTGATCGAAGTTGCCGATAACTTAAACCTGCAGGCCCACCACCAGTGACTGAGAAACAATGGCTGATATTGACTGATCGTATTTTCTTCTCTTTCGGTCGGAGTTTTGGCACCACGAAAGCTAAGCTGTCTTTTGTGGAAAGTTTCCTGCTTTCACTATCGTCCATTATGAGGAAATGTCACAAATGTTTGCGAAAATTGATCAGTCATGCGATAGTGTCCGAAATTTTGGGTTCTAACCGCTTTCAGCCGAAAACGTTATGTGGCATGTGAAGTGGACCACTTGCTGCATGACATTTTATTGTGAAGTGCAAAAGTGTACCGCGATAAGAAATGATAGAATCACCGCATTTGTACGTCTTTGTTTGGTGCTCTCTTACACTCGCGGACAACAGAACATTACAAATGATATTTTACACTAATTTTAAGATCATGTTAGAGTGAAAAGCCAAGTAGTATCCTGAATCAATTTGAAAAGCAAAAACTACTAGATTAGAGTCCACCATAACCCCACGCCAGTCCTACTACTAATAATGGATGTGTTCGGAAAACGGCCCCGTAAAACTCAATCAGCGTCTTCTCAACCACGGTTTTATGGCCCACAGGGGTTGATATAATGCCCCATGATTATAGCAGTAGGTCCAGTCAATAAAAAATTCCAGCGCTGCGTATTTCTGATCCATCCACAGATGCAGGTGCGGACAGCTTTTAGCTCCTCGTCATAACTGTGGACAGGCCACCTTTCGTACGCCTTTGACCGCTAGAGGCGAACAACTGAACAGATCAAGACAGGTGTTGAGGTTGACGAATAATGGGGTGTTTGGGGCAGTATGGCACTTAACCCCTGGGGGACTCTGTATCTAAACGACGGTCTTTTGGACTAGTATGGTTGACCGATTGAAAAACCTACGAAATCCCCTGCTCTTCCATCGCGAGCCGCAAAGTCAATTGTCCACCGACCTAGTTGTACGAACGATCCTGATCCGTGTTGGAATATATCTTTCAAGCATCGGTCAAACTTGGTTAAACTTGGAATAAATTAAGAGATTGAAGTACCCTTTTATCAATCAAAACGTCTTTTTCCTTGAAGTACTATTTACTGCGTCTGCCTCATGGGTTTGATATTCAGCTGTAATCTCACATGAAAATTTGTACTCTTGACATGTCCAATCAACTCTGACGGACAATTCGACCACTTGCATTACCACGTGCTGTGAGCACACATTTTTTTCGTCAATTCAGATCGATTTTCCGTTCTCCTTGGGCTTTCATCAATTCGTGTAACAACTTAGACGGAAATCCTAAACATTTGAAGTTTATAACCCTTTCACATAGTTGCTTTTATATGTGTAGTAACGCGTTTTATTGACAACTCTCAAAACTTCGTCATTCGGGACTTGTGATTTCACGCGCTACTCAATTGGGCTTCCCCAGATACTTCAACTATCCTATAGGGACCTTTTTTTAAACACCAGTTGGTAGAATTGGAACAATCGACCTTGGAGCGAGAAAAATAGAGATGAGCGTGGTGAATTTTTCCAGAACATTGGCTTCTGGAGTTACGTTGGCCAATTTTTCACTCTGGAAAATGCTATCTGCACAGTATGTCGCAAAACGCATGCAGACTGTTCATCAGTAGAACAATACGAAGTTGGGTTGTATTGTCCCATGAGAACTCTAACATCTACCTGAAAAAGTATTTCAACTGAATATTTCCGAGACGGCCTTCTGCAGCCTTATCACTCAAAACACCTCTTGCTTTCAAAGTATGGACTTCAGAGAACCCCAGATTCATGCATCATGTGCTTCAGTCACTAGTTTAACCCACGTTAACGCGTGTTCTTATGTTAGACCGCCTGACTCCACTTTTTCGCTTGAGATGATCTTGCAGCAAGTGTAATTTGGTGAGTTGACCTTGTGGTGCTCGAGCTCAGTTAATTCATTGTCCCGAGGTCAAAAAAGTCTGGGTAATGTGTTGGAATCTGGGTCTGATGAGCCCCAAGAAGGGCGAAACCGGTCGTGGGCTGTCGATGGATTTTCAGCAACCTTATGAGTAGTACATTACAAAGTCTGGGTTTTCGTTTGCGAACAATTATTCACTGAAATATGTACAGCCATCGGTTGATATAAACAGCCATTCGGACACATGCATACACGATCCACTAAACCGGCTTCAACTGTGAGCCCTTTTCTCTTACACTTTATCGGTCGAAAACCTAGATGTGATCGACCGTAACTGACAAAATGCTGTTGGGTGGCCCGATTGGGAAGCGCGCTGTACCATAGCCTAGGATCTTCAAATCAAGGACTTGAAGTACTCCGGGGTACGAAGGTGAAACGCACAGTTTGTCTGGTGCGCATGGCTCGCAGAATGTTTTCATTGAAATAGTTATACGTAGTAAACCATCAGATAAATTTTTAAATCCTCGAATGAACGCGCAATCCAGTTTCAGACGCACGCCGATAGTGGACGGCCCATTCGCATTTGTGGCTAAAGTGTATGTAGGCTTTTCTCGACGAAGAGAAGGCACATTCCAAGCGGAGGCCCTGGATGCAGTGGTGCACTCCATTCTGTCATGCCTGTCTACGCGGATCGGTCTGCACTTGATGTATTGGTAACAAACCGACCAATCACATGAAGTGGCTCGAGACGACCTTGGCATGTTTATCAACCAACCATCTGTTTCCGCCAGCTTCAGCGCTCACTTGGCGTTGATCGATTACGACGACAGGCGCACTTGACACACTCGGCTTGTGTCATAGTGCGTTGATGTGAATCGAATCATGAGCTGCCATCGCGCGGGATCTTGGATGCTCGACCCAAGCACGTGCACTAACTCAGTGTGAACTTTCATTCGCCATGTGTCACTTGTGAGCTATATTATCATGTCAGACAAAGCGATTCATTCGCCGCCAATGCGGGATTCCGCCGCACCTGTCTCAGCGTGTTCAGAAAATGCCATGTACGATAATCTTTTGGAGACTACCCTTCATAACGAAATTGGCGATGTAGGTAAACCCGGTATGGGCAGCGCAGACATTCACGTTCTAACTGATTTGAAAAGGATTTCATGTTTCCTTGCCGGTGAGATTGAAGTCCCGGATGACGTGCCCGGTTGGAAGATACTGTGTTGTCCACCACCAACGCTCTCCTCGGAGTCGTTCAAACCTGGACAAAAACGTGCACGTCCCAAAGAAACCGATAGGATAGCTACCAAAAGGAGGAAATCAAGAGAAATGGGACATTTAGACATTCGTATTCCCGGTGGCTGGGAAGCGTGTCTTTTGGTTCTTTGGGAGCATGCAATACAACACTCCTTCCTCACACAAAGCGTATGTCGTGATGCTTTCGTGGAACGCATACGAAGAATCGGTGCTATCGCTAGTCGATCACTCCAACAACACGGTTTCTTCACCATCAAACATTTACTTGGACTAACCCGGGCAACTAGGTTGTGTCAGTGGGCGCGTGACTGTTGGTATTATCAGAGACACCTGTTTCGAGCTGGAAAATTGTCTTCTGATAATCGGAACGCTGATTTCGTACCCACAGAACCCATAAGAACTGATTTGGTTGCGTGGTTCTACCCTGATGACACAAATTCCCTAGGAAAAACTGCTTCTTCATTTCCAGAGGTTCGTCTACTGTTGCTCTACTTGGATGCGGTTGTTCGGTCAATGGGGTACACACTGACTAACAGAAATGCCTGTCAAGCCCAAGTAGACTCGCGCAGTTGGTCCGCCCTCTCCGTCTATCAGAAACAATCAAGCGGTGTTGGATATGTGTCTCACTACGACAATCCATCTAACCTGGCAGATGGTCGTATTCTAACAGCGTTGTACTATTTAAATCCGAATTGGCAACGAAACTGGGGTGGCCAGCTGATTATCTGGCCACGTCGAAACAACGGCGAGAATAGTGAAAAGTCGCCTACAGATCCTGACACTACTACACCCACAGACTCCTCTCCTCTCGCAATCTTACCCACCCTTGACAGACTTGTATTGTTCTACGCAGATGAACGGACCCCACATCGCGTCCAACCCGTGTTCCCCACGGCTGAAGTTGACGAACGATTCGCTATCTCTACATGGTATTTTGATAGCGAGGAACGGATGCGATTTTTGACAAAATTCAATTCGAACACAGAGGTGGGTTAATTTGTTGTTTCGAAAGGCTACTCCGCTTCTCAGGAACTCACAGCCATTTATCTTCCTGTTAACGCAAGAATCAACCCCCATCTGGGTTATGAAGCATCTGAGGATGTCGGTTCACTTCTTGCCTTTTTTGCAAATGTGTATATCGACTAAAAGAATGAAGTTGCTCTTTCCAAATTCCTGATTTTTTTACCTAGATTTCTGGGCACTTATCTGCATGCTAGCCGAGCTGGTTTTACTGACAGAACTAAAATTTTCTGCTAGTCAAGGGAGAAAGTTTACCAACCAGGATACACATTTGGATGAATTTGTTTGAGCTTTATTGACAGGTACTAATCTGATGCTCATATTAACTCATGAGAGGATTAATCGATTCCAATATTGTCGCGGATCTCGGTTACCATATTCGGCGCTCAACAGTAGAATCAGAAAAATGACGGTTTAGTTTTTTCCGATGAGTTTCCTAGAAAGTGTCTAACACCAGGAGGTCAGTATTTACTATTCAACCAGGCAATACCATGCTATCGAATTGGAGATATTTCCACGCTGGTACCAGTTAGCCCCGTCAGTAAGAGTAAAAGAAACATGTGACTTTGGAGGTTGACGTTCTCTCATGACGCATACTACATCTAGATTTTCCTCGTGAGATATCACACGAAAGCACCACAGTGCGTTTTTTTCGCCAATGGGGTGAAATTTTGTGTACAGTACTTCTGTCTACCACCTATCTCAGAAACAACTGCCTCTCCATTTTGACAGGATGGCTATGCCTAGCATGCGATTGTGTAAGAATACTGCTGTCTCCGGTTTAAATTCAGCTCTTCAGTACGACTTTTCTTGGCATTTTGACTTTGTAAAAGAAGGAAAGCACTACATATCAGTTTCTGTAAGAACAGCATAGCCAGCGGCATCAAAGCGCAATATACTTTTGACGTCTGATTGAGTTGAAAATGTCCTCTATTCAGTTCGGAGATTTTCAGATCCATGTAGTTGTCAGTTAGACGTAAACCTACGGACAAAGCCATTCCCAAACTCTGTAACCAAAGTTCCTTCGAACTTTCCGTTGGATTGATGGTAAAATTGGTGTCAGCTCTATGTGCGCTGAACCGATGATATGAACTAACACCTACGGTCTCCCTGCAGAAACACTGAGCCGCCCTATATAGCAGCCACTATGGAATGATCTTGTCCATATATTGAGGATGTGAGTGTTCTTTTATCAATGTTTTGTTCATATTCACACCACTCTTGTTTGAACGGTCTTCCTCCTGTCCTGGTGTAATCATTCTGGTGAGTCCACACCAAAGGGGGAAGCACTGGACTTGAGTTTCGCTCTTGTTAGAGCTCATCGGCAGTGCATATCTAAAGGCCGAGCACGGATTTGAAGCGTTCCCATCTACTCATCACATCGCTGAAGCGTGAACACGTTCGCCTGTTCATGCGTGTAAATTCAGATGCGTCCAACGTGCGTTGGCGAAGTAGCGGTGACACGCTCAGCTCGCGTGTTAGACGTCCAGAGTTCAAATTCCGTCACGGTCTTTGGATATGCACTGCTGATGGGCTCTAATAAGAGCGAAACTCGAGTCCAGTGCCTCCGTTTGGTATAGCTCACCGGACTGATTACACCAGAACAGGAGGACGACCGTTCAAACGAGAGTGGTGCGAATATGAACAAAATACCTATCCCGCAAAACTCCACAACTGTTGCCAATGATTGTTGTATCGCGCTCGAAAGTGTCAATGGTAGGTCCTTTTTGACCATTAAATCAGAGTGGATATGACGTCATTTCATCCCCGGCCAAATGAACATCATTCAGTTTGGATGGAATACACTACTCCTAACTTTGTCAGCTTACTGTAGGCCAATTTACTGCCGGATGAATTATCACCAGCCTATCAAATATTGGATTTCAGCACGCAGTCAATATATGAGACCTATACAGAAAACTTAAACTAACCAAATAAATATAAAACCGATGAATTCTATTACCATCAGGCTACTACCATCAGGCTGTATTGCCAAATTTCTAGTGGCACCAATTTACGGTGGAAGTGGCAAGAAAACAAAACAATTGGGTATATATATTTCACTGGCTATGCACTATTTGATTTTCAAGCAGAACAAACCATTGATAGAAAATCAGGGACTAAGACTACCCGATGTACCTTAAGAAGAGTGGAGCCAGTAGTGGACGCAACCCTATGAATGGTGTGCCATGGCAAAAAAAGTGTTTATCAAAACACTACATTTTATATCAGTGTGCACTCAGAATATGGTTAAGTGGCCCCCATTTTAGGTAGCCGTTACAGTTGTGTTCGCAGATTCCCCTTCTGTTGATCCAGGCTTGTGGAACCGATAGTGAGTTGTGTCTGTTTTAAGTAGAGCACAATTCGGTTAACTGATGCGGCTTTTCTATGATTGCTCCCCTGAAGGCTGACCGAGTTACCTCAAATTGAAATAAATATACCTTGTCTGCAAAAAACTCGCATATTTTGGTTTGATATTCCTTCAGTTTTCGTCTCGTCGGTAAGGTTGTTTTGACAAACCCAAACTGTAGAATTGCCCGCTATTGTACCACTATAATTAAAGCGAGGAATCAACATTATACATACTCTCATTTTTCGGACAGTTTTCACGATGCGATACGGATTAGAGACTGGGTGTCGAAGGTCCCCATTATCCTAACTTCGCACAGGAAATGCCTACCTACGCGATTTGTTTGAACCAAGGAACTATTGCTTCAGATCATTTTGAAGTTGTCCACTGTGGGTCTTGCTCCAAGTGACAGGTAGTTCCATTAGCAGGTGGTGTTCTCCGATCTCAAGGGGAACTATTACAAACTCACAAAACCCTGAGGGTAAAAAGCTGGTGGAATAACTCAGGAGCAATTTTTTTATCAACAACAAGAGCAACCATTGACGCGTGGCCGTCTGGTCACAGATGGTGAAATGAGTAGGTTAATGGTGGCCCGGAGTGAGACACGGACACCTAGTTAGTTTCGCGCTGATTCCTTCTCGTATACGGACACTCGTGACACTCATAAACGTAAAACCTCGAAAAAAATTTATCATTTTTAGGAAACGATAAATATGACCTCCAAGAAGCATAAAGTACTGTTAAATCAAGGTAAATCAAGGTTATATTGATAAATCAAGTCAAGGTTATATTGGTCTAAAAAGCATTTTGCTTTACAATGACCAAAGGATATTGGTGTGTGTGTATGTATACAGATAAAATAAACGATATGACATATATGTTCTATTG